TATATATATATATATATATATATATATATATATATATATATATATATATGTGTGTGTGTGTGTGTGTGTGTGTGCGTGCGTTTTAAATATGCTAATATTTCTAAAAAATGACAAAGGTTGTTATAGTAATTTTATTATAAAAAAGAAGATAGCTTTTTTTTGTTGTTGTTACAAATAAGGATTAGGACCACAGTGATTTTTCCCCTCAGTATTCAGAGAAATTAAGTCAGAATTCTGACATTTATATCAGAGTTATTACTTTAATTCTAATTTGGAAGTAAAATTCTGGGGGAAAAAAAAGTAAAACATTTTAAAAGAAAATATCACCGTGGACCCAATCCTCGTCCGTCATTTTTATTAAAATAAAAATAACAATTTATATAAACAACTTAAAGATTTGCATTTCTCATTTCGACCGATAGGGGCGCTACATGATTGACAAGAAACATAAATATCGCGCTAGGAATCTTGGGAGTTTTAGTTCTCCGCAATGGACGGTTGACTTGATTACAGGTCGAAGGACAAAACAAGACCCAAAAAATAAATTATCTGGGTTGAATTCGGCGACGGAACGAGACTCCTACGCTGCGAGTCCGGATCAAATCGAGTGAATTGATCCGTCGCGCGCAGCGGAGCGGCTAACTTTTAGCTGAGAGCCACAAACAGGAAGTTGTTAGCTTTGTGGGACGTGTAGTTCCGTACGCAGGCCGCCTAGCTTGATAACAACGCATATGAAAATAAACATCAACAAAACACCCTGAAGGTCGAGTTTTAGCCTCGTTTTTTGGCGAAAACATGCCTGGGTTCACCTGCTGTGTCCCCGGCTGCTACAACAACTCGCACCGGGACCGGGACCTGCGCTTCTATACATTTCCGAAGGACAGCGCGCTGAGGGAGCAGTGGCTGAGGAACATCTCGCGGGCCGGGGTCAGCGGCTGCTTCAGCACCTTTCAGCCCACCACGGGACACCGGGTCTGCAGTTTGCACTTCGCCGGCGGGAGGAAAACCTACAGCGTCCGAGTGCCGTCCCTGTTCCCTCTGCGGGGGGTGAACGAGCGCAGGAGTCGGCGCGGAAGAGGGAGGAAAGTGTCCGCGGCGATTCCCGCCCCCGCCGCCAGCGTCCTGGGGAGCACGGCGGTGGGAGCCGAGGGCAACGCTGGAGGGGAGGCGGGCGACGACAGCATCACCGTGGTCCAGATAGGCCAGAACGGGGAGTACTTGGGCACAGCGCGGCTGCCCGCCCCGCCGGAGGGGACTTGTTACTCCGCGCCGATCGATGTAGAACAGATCACAACCGAGGAGTCGCCGGGAGAGACCGGTGTGTCGGCGCTCCCGCTTCCCGTGCACTTCGTGAGCGTGACCAGCTCCCCGCTGGATCACTCCTACTCCCTGACCACCGGCACCACGTCGGCCGAGCTGCTGCGGAAACTGAACGAGCAGCGGGACATCATCGCGCTGATGGAGGTGAAGATGAAGGAGATGAAGGCCACCATCCGCCAGCTGCGGGTGGTGGAGGCTAAGCTGCAGGAGGAGGTGCGGGAGCGGGACCGGCTGCTGTGCGGCCAGGCGGCGGTGGCTGCTGGCGTCCGCAAGAAAATCTGACACTGAGGCTTCAAAAAGACCCGGAACCGACTGAGTGCACGCGTTTCCACACGCGCCTGGTTCCAAGAAACTGGTTTATGTAGCGGATAGTCAAAAAACTCACCACTTAAAAACATAAACTGCTTTTTTCTTGCTCTCCACATGGATCAACTCCATTGATTCCTCCAGTGTGTTGACAAAGATGAACTGCCAAGTTAAAAAATTAAAAATTGTGGTTTTGGTTCCAGCTTAAATGAGCAGAAGAGACATTTCATGAAAAACTGATATGAAGGGCGCCAAGATGAACCAGGAGTCTTTTTCTTAACCTGCCTTTACATTAATTTAAATCACCTTCATTGCTGAAAACATTTGTGCATCCAAAAAACATTAAAGGACTCCTATTAGACGACAAAGTCTTAAAAAAACAGACCTGCATTGTTACATTTTTATAACAGCTTTGCTCCAGGAAGTCGATTTAAAAAAGAGGAAGACATAAAAAATATGCAACTGTCTCATGTTTGAGTTATTTTCTTCATCACCAGCTCTATGTGCCTGTTCATTGGTGGCTGCATCTCTTGAGTCCAACATATTTCTGATTTATGCCACAGGCATGTTGTTTGGTCCGGTTGGTGCCGCCTGACCTGCAGCGGAGCTGTTTTTATAGTTTAGTGATGCAGAGGATAAAATCTCTCGCGTGTGCTTTTGCTTTGTTTTAGGAACGATCGGATGGAGCTTTGCTGTGGCTCCTGCAAACTCCATAAAAAATCAGTATTTATATTTTGCAGCCGAGTGGATTTGTGGAAAAACAAATAAAATTTTATAATGTGAAATTGTCCCCGTCGTGAATATTTGTGATTTAAACGCCTGATTGGCAGAGCGGCTTGAACTCATCAGAGAGAATATTTCAGTTTGTAATAAAGTGGCGTGCAGGATGAAACCGTCATTTTACCCACGAGAAACACTGACGCCAATACTCAAGAAGAACCACAACTTTGAAGTTCAGTAAACGCAGAAGTATCATTTGAAGTAAAAAAGAAAAGTTTTAGAGATTACCGTATTTTCCGCCGTACACGTCGCACCTCCCTATAAGTCGCATCTGTCCACATATGTCTACTAAAGTTTTTTTATTTTATATAAACACCATTTACAACAAATATTGCATCATTATCAGAGATATTGGAATCTGAAAAAAGCCAGCACAGGTTACTTCCAAACACACAGAAATAATAATAATAATAATACAAGAATCAAATAGAATAAAACAACAACAAAATAAATAAATAAAATAAAAACTAGGGGTTTTCCAGTAGTTTCAGTTCGTTTATCATATGAAACAACTCCACACCTTGATGTTTGTCCATGAACTTCATAGATGAGAAGAAGTGGCAGAGTTCCTTGTGAAAAGTGGGGAATGATGGTTTTGTCTTAAGGAAACGGCACTTGTGAATGAAACATTTTCCCATAACAATAATTACATTTAATAACTTTTCAAGATCTTTTTCTTTTCTCAGGGATCCAAACATAATGTCATTCTTAGCAAATTCACGTAAATTTGGAATTGTAGGGAAAAGCCAGTAGTGCACGTCATCCCACAAAGCTTTACAATACATGCATTCATCGAAAACGTGTTCTGTTGATTCAATATTATCATCACAAAATGAACAAGTGTCATCGATTGCAAAACGATGTCTGAGGAATTCCTTAGAGGGGTAAACCCCTGAAAAGGTTTTAAAGTGGACTCCCTTAGCTTTTGGAGGAATGGGAAGATTTAAATAATTTGTTCTAATTTTTTTCTTTTGATCCTTTGAAAAGAAATGTGAAATAAAATTTGGGTTATATGTGTAATAAAGTCGAAAAATCCATAAATACGTCGCATCTATGACACGTCACCGCTGACAACCCGGAAATGTGGGCCGGTGTTGTGCCAAAAGTCGATTGGAGGCCACAGGAGGACTTTTAACAAGAGTTTAATGAGATTAACACTTAAAAACAATTATTTGTTTGCTCGAAATTATAGTAGAAGTGTGTCTCAGTGTAAGTTTTGCTTAATAAATACACTTCAATGGTCAAACTAGCTGCATTTCGTCAGGGCAGAGCAGCGAAATGAAGGTTGCTGCAGGCGAGCTGGACGAAGGTGGCTGCTTTGGCAAGCTGATTGCGTCATTAATAGCCACATTTACCTATTACATGGCACAACGGCATGCCATACACTCAAGTGCTGCTTAGCGGATGAAAATGGTAGCGTTCAATGTTTTCAGTCGGAATGAATGAAAACGGTCACATCTCAGCCAAAAATTGGTTCATAAATGTGGGAAAAATCCATAAATACGTCGCTTTGACGTTTAAGTCACAGGGCATAACAATTATGTTTAAAAAAATCGTGACTTATACGCCGAAAAATACGGTAAAAATAAAATGTTAAAGTGCTTAACTAAACCGACAGATCTGATCTCAAATACATTTTTATAAGACTGAAATGAACTTTTGGCACTATTGCTCGCTTATTCTGTGCAACTTTCAAAACAGACTTCAAACCTTCTTCAGCTGCCTGTCAAATAAAAAACTTTAAGATGTTTTAGATATTTGCTCCCTCCTGGCTTCAAACTAAAGACAAAAACCAAGAGCTCGTGGCGTTTCTAATATTTAAAGAAGAACCTAAAGTTTATCAATCTGCAGCCGCTCTGACTCCACCGAGGCCTTTCCTGCTCACCATCCTGCGTCACCAGTCGACAAAACGAGTGTTTGAACAAATCCTGGCGTCAGATTCAAAGTGATCAAGTTAAACGTGATGTTTTGTTTGAAGTCGTGTTTGATGGTGGATCTGCTGAGAAGTTGGACAGCGCCTCGCCAGCTCTTGAGTTTTAAAACGTTTCTTTTGTTGCTCCAACGTCAGGATTATGACCCTGGAGCCAAAGTGAGGAAGAAGGTGACCCTAAAAACTGACTTAACAAAAGACCAACGATCTACTCGTGAAATTTATTTAAAATGTAAAATACAAGGGAGGCATCCTAATCAGATGCCTGACAACATCATCTGACAACAACAGCAGCTCTCCACCTTATCTCTGAGGCTGAGCTTGTCCCATCTGCAATTACTTCTGCAGAAAATACATTTATCTGATGAGAGAAAAATGATTTTTAAAACTGATATCATCAGAACCAGTCGGAGGCCTCACGTCTTAAGGCGAGCATGACATTTGACCAGTTAGGTTTGGGAGACAACACCATCCCCATCCCATTTTTAAAACAAAAATGAGAGCAAATAAGGAGACGCCAAGAAATATTTCAAGGATCCTACGCTGCATGAGAAGAACTTCAGGGAGACAAGAATTAGCAGGAGCATTAAGCGTGAGATGAAACTGTTACAAGCCGATATCTTTTTTGATGGTTTGGAAGCACAGATCTTAATAAATTGTTGCTCCGAACAGAAAAGCATCATTATTCTCGCCTGCTGAAATCAGCTAATCTGCTGAGCTCCGTCCTCCAGATGGCGCCTGGATGAAGGTTTACCTCCCATCATGATGGCCTTGTTGACTTCTGTCTGAAAGTTTGCAGCTCTGATAGTTTCTGTCATGTGGGCGTGGAGGTGTTTGTGTGGCTCCTCGGGTCAAACCCGAACAGGTGACGGTAAAAAGTGACGAGATGAAACCAGAGGAGGTGATGAATGCATGGACAGAGCTCAGCGGGTACAATCCAGGTCCCTAATCTCATCAGGATTTAGTTTTTTTCCCCTCCCAGCAGAGTTGCGTAACGCCTTAATCCAGTGCCATCAATCCCAACTCTCTTTGTTTTCTGCTTCTGCAGCGTTTTCACAGCTGACGTCTGTTTGCTTCATTCTTCAGAGCATTTATGTGAACGCGTATAAATATTAAAAACGATATGAGACTGGATTCTGTGATCAGACCAGTAAAGACTTATGGGATGCCAGTTGTAAACTTGCACAGTCAAAAATTACCAATAGCCTTTCATAAGAAAAAAAAAGTTTTCTTTTTCAAAGTCATATTTTCACCATGTTATTCATACATTTATAAATGTCATAGTTCCAAACTAAATATTTACTTTACAAGCTAAATACATTTATTTTCCAAACTAAACATTTAACTTCCAAAATAAATATTACGGTACCTAAATATTAACTAAAATACTTAAGTATTTGGAAGTTAAATATTTACATCTGAGCTAAATATTTAGATAGCAGATTAAATATTTATTTTGGAAATTCAATGTTTAGTTTGGAAAATAAATATTTAGGTCCGAGCTCAATATTTAGGCAGCAAATTAAATATTTATTTTGGAAATTGATTGTTTGGTTTGGAAAATAAACATTTAGGTCCGAGCTCAATATTTAATTAGCAAATTAAATATTTAGTTTAGGAATTAAATGTTTAGCTTAGAAATTAAATATTTAGCTTGCAAATTAAATATTTAGTTTGGAACTATGACATTTATAAATGTGTGAATGACATGGTGAAAATATGACTTTGAAAAAAAAAATTTCTTATGAAAAGTTAATAAACCAAAATATTGCTGTTAATTTTTGACTGTGTAATGGCACCCCATAAAGACTTACCTTAAATCTGTACACACACACACACACACACAGGTTTGTTTTGCTATCTTTATGGGGCCTTTGCATTGACTTCCATTCATTTTTCATTCATTTCTATAGCCTAACCATGACCTTTATCCATAACCTAACCATTACCAGTACATACCTAACCCTAAAACTAACACATCCTCAATTCACACCTTAGTCCTAAACCTAGCCCCTAA